ATTCTGGCAACAATGTGGAACAACTCAGCTTTCATACACACCTGGTGGAAGTACAAACTGGTACAATCACTTTAGAAAACCATTTGGCAGTATTTACTAAAACTGAATTATGTGGGCTCCATCATTCCAGAATTCCAGTACTAGAGAATCACATACATATGTTCTTCACATTAAATGTGTGATAACCAAAATCTACGAACAATCCCAATATTCATCAACAGTGGAATGGATAAGTAACTTGTAGTATATACGTATAAGCAATACTGTCCTACAATTAATTAACTACAACTACATCTAACAACATTTATATAACAAACATAATATTGAGTGAAAGAAGCCAGACACAAAAAATATATACCATTTCATTCTGTTTATGTAAAGTTCAAAAACAGCTAAAGTAATCTATGATGTTGGAATTTAGGATTACTGATTACGTGCAGCAGGAAAAGAGTGCCTGGAAAAGGAGCAGAAGGTAGCTTCTGGGGTTCTGGTAATGCTCTGTTTCTTGATCTGGCTGCCGGTTATACGGGTGTGTTCACTTCATGAAAATTCATCAAGGCCTAATTTTCTCTGTGTATGTTAAACCTCTATTAAAATTTACATTATACATATTATATATTTATATACACATATATTGTGTGCATGTATGTGAAATGACAACATTTCAACAAATGAAGTGTTAATGAGTTAATTGACTTTTATTAGCAATTCATAAACCAGTCAGCATCCAGTCTATAAAACAGACAAGAGCTCCACTGGCCATGAGGTCATGGCCAGTGAATGGATTTAATAGAGAACTCCACTGGCCATGAGTTGGTTTTTGTAAGGCAACTTGAGCGGGAACAAGGAAACATCTAGTGCAAAAGGTAAATTGGTTAACATCAGGTTACTAAAGGTTACTCTCCTTGTATGGATTAAGGCAGTGGGGACTTGGTTATTATGCCCGCTCAGCTCAGGTTGATTGGGCCCTTTGGATTGGTTGTTGTGGATTTCCTTTTTTTTCTTTTTTTTTTTTTTTTGTTTTTGGAAAACTGACCTTCTCCCCTAATCTCTCAGGTTGGATCTTGCAAGTAAACAGCTTAGGTTTTGGTTTGGCGATCAGGAACATTAGCATGAGTGACTCCAGTTTAGGTTGGTCTGTTGGGACCCAGTGCAAGATCTTACCCCAAATCAATAGCCTCTCATAATTTTTATTTAAGAGTATATACACATATGCACACACACACACACACACACACACACACACCCCCTATATATTTCATCCAAACTGTAGCCACTTCTGGCTTCCTCTACTGTTCTCTCTAAGACTTCTGCAAAAGCTGCTTGCCCCAGTTCCACTCTTGCACCCCTGTATCTTCACCAGTAGCCAGAATGAGAATTTTAAGACAGAAGGAATGCCATGTCTGTCCCTGGCTCATAACGAGTAGTAGCTTCCCATGTCAATCCAAGTAAAAACCTCAGAGGTAACACATACGCCTGACAGTCTATATAAAACAGCCTCACTCAAACCTGTTACTTATCCCTTTACCTGCTTTATTTTTCCTTATAGCTGTTGTCACCAACTGACATATCATTTACTTGATTACTGATTTATAATGGCCTTTCTGCCACTAGTATGTAGGCTACATGAGAGCAGGGACTTTATCTTTCTGCTTTACAGCCCTAACGTCTAGAAAAGTGCATGGCATAAAGTAATGGAAGGATGGATGGATGGATGGATGGATGGATGGATGGATGGATGGATGGATGGATGGATGGATGGATGGATAGATTGATTTGATTGTCACCAAAAAATGTAGAAAATAGGCAGAATATGTATTATTAACCTTCTTTTATAGGTTTGGAAACTAACAGAATGAAATTACATGAGGAAACAAAGAAAATGAAATATTTGCTCAGTGTTATTCAGGAGTACAGCCAGGTCTTCTGTTCCTCTCTCTCACTCTCCTCTTCTCTCTCTTTTTCTCCCTCTGCTCTTCACCTCCCACAAACCCACTCATGCACACAAAGACACAGGCACGAGGAGAATGAAATAAGCACAATTTTCCTCATTAATGAAAGTATGCATGTGAACTACTCTGTTCACTACAATTTTTAGCCATTTTACTCATAGTCATAAAATATATTTTATATTATTTATGTATGTGTAAGATATATATTATATAACATATCTTACTCACATATATGTGTGTGTATGTGTGTTTGTGGGTTATATAATCCTATTGGATTATATAATCCTATTGGTTGAGAATTAAATGAGGATGACAGCCAGGTAAAGATTTATTACTTTGGAATTAGGCCTTTTTATATAAGCCTTGATTTGTGGTCATTTGTCCTATTTGAAAACATGATAAGAAAGAATCTATTGTTTTGCTTGCCAAAATATGTGGGACCTAGGGCTAGGTTCTTTAGCATTTTGCACTAGAAACTTTTTAAAACAAAGTGAGATCTTTTTTTAAGATGCTGCCTGCATTCCAACAATAAAAAACTTTTAAGGCTCTGAAGACAAAGTTTTTGTCAGTGAATGTCCAGAAATTGTGATAGTTTCAGTCAGAAGTCTCACCTCCCTGTTCTCAGAATGAATTGTAGAGCCCCTGGAATAGACAAGGGTGTGTAAGGTTAATTGCTCTTTCTATATAGATATCAATTACCTTTTCAACGGGCTACCCAGTGGGATTTACCACTTGGCAGTTTGTCTAAAAGCTAGCAAAAAATAGGGGGGTGGGGAGAGGACTGATTTGGTTGTCAACATATTGACCCTTCAGTGTTGGTTAAAAAAAATAAAAGTTTTAGGCCCTTTCAGTTACTAAGTAGCTAACTACACAGTTTTGTTTGGTTAGTGTTTGTTTGTTTGTTTTTTAATTTAAAAAATGGGAAACAGTGATTATGTGCTCAGCGGCTAGCATTAATATGTTTCACCTCCTCCCTCTTAGAAAACAGTAAGTATAACATCAAGCCACAACTTTAAAAGCAGATTAAATTAAAAAATGAAGTTCCAAATTCATTGAGTGTAATGAGGCCAATGTCAGATCATTCGTTCATCAAGTAGTTACAGCTTTTAATAAGGCAGAAAATTATGGTTAAAGGGAAATATGGCTTTTACTTATGAATACAGAATAGCCATTAATGTCAAGGAGAAAGCAATGCCAAAGTTTATTCTGAAACTCAGACTTGCAGATGAGCAGAGGAAAGTGTAGGGTTATAAGAATATACGTGTAGCTCCAATGTGGGAGCTCTGGCTTCATCTTGGCCACACAACTTGGAAGCTGTGTAACCTAAGGCTGGTTAGTTAACCAATCTGAATCTCACCTTCCTGGGGATGTGAAATGAGGATGGCTTTTGTGAAGACTAAATTAGGTCATGGTTGTAAAAATGTTTTGTAGTTGAAATAATGTATAGGATTATTACTGTGCTATAATCATTTATTGAATCCCTTTCCTGCCTCTCTCTACCTCCTAAAGCTACTTCTGTAATATTTAACTAAAGTTGCCCCCTCATCCTTGAGGTTTGCTTATCCCTACTGTTGTAGATTAGGATATTTTACCCCAATTAAGTGAGAATTTCCCATGTGTTCCATGTCTGAACGAGCCTTCTAAGGCAGAACAGAACTATGACCTTCTCTGAAACCTAAACTATTAATGTTGTACATACATAAACAAGCAGCTCCCTGAGACCTTAAAGGTAGGGGTATTGGAGATAGAAAGTAAAAAGTGGAAAATATGTCTTCTTTCCCCACCTCAGGATGGAACATTATCCCATTTTCCTAAGTGTGTTTTCTTGTCCCATTTTCCCAAGTATTTTTTTCTATCTATAGTAGAAAAAGTTACTATTTAATGAACACTTATTATATGCCAAGCACTGTGCTATGCATTATTTCATATAATCCTCACAACAGACTAATGCATTCTGTACTATTATTGCGAGTATAGACAAGAGAACTGTAATCAGAGCAATTAAGCAGTTTAACCAGTGTCACATATCTGGTAAGTGGAGAGTCAGGATTTAAACCTAAACCTACTCAATTCCTTTTCCAGGCTTTTCCTATTATTTACCTCCTACATTTCAACTTCTTTTGTGAAGAAGTTGACAAAGACATTATTTCTTTGCATGTCTGTGTTTGCCTTTCTATCCCTTTAAAGTTTCATCTTTGGTGTGCTTGTAATGAGTACAGTAGGGACCTGTAAACAAAGATGACTAAGGTGTAGTCCCTCTGCTTAAGAAGCTATTATAATGCACTGGCAGAAAGATGACAGGCGAACAAATCACTCTATGACATGGAGCAATTTGTGTGTGTGTGTGTGTGTAGCAGTTTCTGTGTTCTTCAACTTTAAAGTTCAGGTATACATGTGCAGGATACTCAGGTTTGTTACACAGATAATCATGTGCCATGGTGGTTTGCTGCACAGATCATCCCATCACCTAGGTATTAAGCCCAGCATGCATTAGCTCTTCATCCTGATGCCCTCCCTCCACAATGCCCCCATTCCCAACAGGCCCCAGTGTGTGTTATTCCCACCTTGTATCCATGGAACAATTTAAGAGGTCATAAGAGATAGAGCATCAGCCTCCTCATCTGTAACTTGGAAATTATACTCTACCTTTTAAAACTATTATGATAGAGTGAAATGCTTATGTCAAGTATATAGCAAATACCCTGACTTGTAGTAAGGGGTCAGTATATGGAATCTATAATGTGGCCAGACAGTCCAAGGACTAGGATATCAGAATAGAAAAGCAATTTGGAGCCAGATTTTGAGAACCTTGAGTGCCATTCCAAAGATTGTGAACCTTCAACTTCATAAAACAATATGCCAAAGTTAAGAATTATTCCAAAAAGAAATTAGAGCTGATGCTATTTTACATTACCTTTCAAAATTCATTGTAAGTGAGATGGAGTTGGTAGAAGCTGTTGTAACTGATTTAAAGGAGTTTTATATTTGATGTACGAAAAGGAAAGATGATATTTTTAAGTTTGATACCTTTTATTTTTTCTTCCACAGTAATTAGTGAATGCCAAAGGCAGCAACTGGAGGCTGTGAGCTACTCCTCTCGATATGCTCTGGGCCTCTTTTATGAAGCTGGCACGAAGATTGATGTCCCTTGGGCTGGGCAGTACATCACCAGTAATCCTTGCATACGCTTCGTCTCCATTGATAATAAGAAGCGCAATATAGGTCAGTACCCCCATTATTTCCCTTAAATACAGTAACAATGGTGGGTGTAGATCATGAAAAATGCTGTTTAATTGAGTGTTGCCATTCTGAACAGAGCAAGCATTTAACTCCAAGCCACAGGGGATAAAATTTAATGTCACATTTGGCCAGTAATAAAATACACAGTGAAACCGGCAAAGTTTTTCAGAATTTCATTCACCACATGGTTTATATTACTGAGTTCATGAAAATAGTGTCAGAAGGTTTAAGATTTCAAAATGACCCAAGTTCTATTTCTTTAATATGGATGCATCTATATGCAAATGTATCTCTCATTTGTTTCTTGGTGAAGTTTGTTTTTGTTTGTTTGGTTTGGGTATTTTTTTTTCTAATTTGATAAGTGCTGCTCTTCCACTCCCTCAGCTGGAAATTAAAGGAGAATTTTACTATGTTATGAAAATCCTTCACTTCAATATAATTTTATTGTTTATTTGCATTTCATCTGGGGGAAAATGGTAAATTTACTTTAGAAACAATGTAACGAGTAAAATGTTTCATGAGAGCTTTACTAGAATGTGATAAATCTACACTCCACCCTTTTTGTTGAAGATAGTTATAAAAATTAGATTTGAATTGTAAGAAAAACATAACTGATTCCTTTTAGGCAAAAAGGTGAAAGTGTATTCTCATTTGTAGGATTGCAGTGATCCCTGAGATGCTGCTTTTTGTGGAATAACCATAAGGATGTAAAATGACTAAAACTCTTGAATCATCCTGTCAATCTGTTATGGTATTTTATGGGACAGTGATGGCTTCACCAAGCCATTAGTTAGAAGTCTGGCTTGATAAAATCACCAACTAACATCTCTCAGCTCACCAGACCTTCATAATGATAGAACTGGGCTGGGGTATGGTTTTTATATCAGAGCTCATGATCTTAGAAAAATGTCTCTTTTATAACTTAAAACTCCCTTAGGGCTGGACTGTTTATGTTAACATGATACCACATATATGTACAATCAGCAGTTCATGAAATGCCTTAGAACTGCAATGGACTAACCATTTTTAACTCTACAACTGCTTTATTCTGAGAAAAGAAGATTAACCCTTGATCTTTTCATGTTATATGGCATGAATTAGACATTATCCTTTGTATATTTCATCATAAGATATGATATCTGTCAGGGTGTATTCAGTTGTATATAACAGAAAAAAATTTTAAACTTGTTTAACAGCATAAAGACATTAGTTGTATTATCTACTATGGACTGAATTGTGTCTCCTCCATAGACATAGGTTGAAGCCCTCAGCCCAATATGGTTGTATTTAGAGATGGGGTTCTAGGAGGTAATTAAGATTAAATGAGGTCCTAAAGGTAGGACCCTATCCATGTAGGGTTGATGGCCTTGTAAGAAGAACAAAAGAGAGAAAGCTCTCTCTCTCTATCCTGGCTTGCACATACCATGTGAGGACGTAATAAGAAGGCAGCTATCTGCAAGCCAGGACGACAGCCCCAACTAAGAGCCAAATCTACCGGCACCTTGATCTTGGACTTCCCAGCCTCCAGAACTGTGAGAAATTTCTGTTGTTTAAGTCACCCAGTCTATGGTATTTTGTTATAGTAGCCTGAGCTGACTAATAATACATTATCTAAGGAGAAGATTGGAGAGACTTCAGGGTTCATTGATTCAGGAACTGAGCAATATCTTAAAAGACCTAGGTTTTGTCTTTCTCTGCTCTCTTCTACTCTCAATGTTGACATCCTCAGAGGACTGGCAGCAAGATGGCAATAGCTATTGGAGTCACACTGAACCTAACAACATGCTTAGGAATGAAATGAACTATCACTGGCTAAGGATCAAGGAAATCTTGGGAGGCCAAGGTGGGTGGATCACGAGGTCAGGAGTTCAAGACCAGCCAGGTCAACGTAATGAAACCCCATCTCTACTAAAATTACAAAAAAATAGCTGGGCGTCGTGACAGACGCCTGTAATCCCAGCTACGCGGGAGCCTGAGGCAGGAGAATCGCTTGAACCCAGGAGGCGGAGGTTGCACTGAGCGAAGATCGTGCCACTGCACTCCAGCCTGGGTGACAGTGTGAGACTCTGTCTCAAAAAATAATAATAATATATACTAATAATAATCAAGGAAATCTTTACAGAAGATTTGGTCGACTTCTCCTCATGTGTCACAGACCAGAATTGGATTACTTGAGTGCTCCAAAACCAGTCACTGGCAAAGAGGGTGGGAGCAACGTGGTAAGCCTACGCAAGTCCAGATCTAGTCCTGGAACTGGTACTAGGATCATCTTTCCCTTAGTTATGAGGAGTGCTATCTGAATAAGATAGAGTTTTGTTAGGAGGAAGAAAGGAAGTACTAAATGCTGGATTAGCAATCAATAATGTCCATTATCTCCAAGTAGAGTCACATCTTATATGGGAGGTAAAGTTCTAAAGTTGTCACATAAAAAGAGTCATGTATATTCAAACTTACCTTCAAAGTTTCTTAAAACTATATGACATTTTAGAGAATGATGTAACATCTTTCAGTAAATTCAGTACAACTATTTTCCCAACATTCAGTAGATTTCTGTTCCTTTGGTGAAGCCAGATTAAAGTTGGTTTGGAATTGTAGGACCCAGTGATATTTTCTACTATGAAAGGCACACAGGAAGGAAAGAAATAACAGAGTCATATCTCCTAACAGACTATAAATCTGCTGTAAAAATGGAGTAGGATGGTGGGTAAAAGCACCCACAGTACAGTGCAGTAATTTATAAAATTATGCAAATTTGAAAGAGTACAACATAAAAGATTAATAAATTCTCTCATGTGATTGGAAGCATTTGAAATAATAGAATTTAAATTTTTTTTATATCAACAATCATACAATATTAAAAGGAGTGGGCTACCTGAATTGGAAACCATGTTTTTGCTACAGCCCATGGTGGTGCCACTTCAGCAAGCAAAGAAATGCCTGCTTTTCTTTGACAGCTGTATGGGAAATTAATCTTCAGTTATGCAAGTTTTAAATTAAGTGATACAGAATGCCAGTAATGGCATTTCATAACATAAAATCTAACTGCTCTGCATTTAAACTATTTTTTCTATCTGGGGGCCAGGATACTAAATGGGTCTAGCTGAATTCACATACTACAAATGCCCATATAATGTAACTTCACTGATTTTATTGATATTGATATTTAACTAGGACAGTAAGAGTTGTTTTTTTTGTTTGTTTGGTTTTTGTTTTTGTTTTTGTTTTTGTTTTTGACAGAGTCTCGCTGTGTTGCCCAGGATGGAGTGCAGTGGCAAGATCTCTGCTCACTGCAATCTCTGCCTCCTGGGCTTAAGTGATTCTCCTGCCTCAGGCTCCCAAGTAGCTGGGAGTACAGGTGCCTGTCACCATGCCCAGCTAATTTTTTTTGTACTTTTAGTCGAGACAGGGTTTCACCAAGTTGGCCAGGCTGGTCTCGAACCCCTGACCTCAAGTGATCCAACCGCCTTGGCCTCCCAAAGGGCTGGGATTACAGGCGTGAGCCACTGTACCCAGCCAGGAGATGTTTCTTTATGCCAGTAATACTACCCCACACCCTTGCTTTATGTGGGGTGTTTGATTGAATCAAGAATTAATACTACAACATACATACACAACCAATCAAACATTTGTGTTCCGTCAGGGTAGAGAAGCAACAAGATAAAGTCTGGCATGGTTGAGACCACAAAATATAGTCAGTTGTTAACTCTTGAAAAGAGCTAGAGGATATAGAAGAAGCCTAAAGATCAAGGCATAATCATGTGTTAGAAGTCAGGAATAGGTAGTACATGTAGAAAGGCACAGCCAGAACCAAAGTTTCTTTAGGCAGAGGGAGTAGATTCCAAGATGTACTAGACCCAACTTTAAGTAACAATAGTTATGAATATGCCCCAATATCCTTGTTTGTGTTTCCCAAAATGTGTTCAGTGGAACACTATTTCCTTGAGTTGCTCTTTGAAAAAAGGCTCTGTCATCAAATAAATTTGCAAAATACTACAGATGTTTATTTTGGAGAATCTCAGGACATGTTATCTTATTAAAGGATATTCCTACAGAAAAGACACCTTTTTACTTCTTTTAATCTAGAATTTCCTAAATGTGCTTGACCATGGGTTATTGTATTTCAGCACCAAACCTACTAACATCCCATAGAAATGGTTCCCAAGTATACATTTTAGAAGCACTGACTTAATGTCACCTTTCATGCTTCACACCTGGGCAGGAATTATAGGCCAGATAACTGGAGTGGGAGGTCTGGTCCTGAAGGCATCAATTGGGAAATACTTGAGATTTTTTTAGAAATGAGAGAACCCTTGTTGCCAATGAACTCAAATCTTCATGGAGTTAAAATTTGAGAAAACTTATATTAAAATAAGGTGTTTATCATATTACCTTGGGTAGTTTTTAAAATTAGTAAGCTTGGCGTAGTGGCAAGAATTGGGACTTACAAGACCTAGATTCAGATTCTGCTTCTGAAAAATGCTACTTTTGTACTTTTGTATAGGCCTTGTATTTGTAATGCTAGTTTTTGTAGTAAACATACCCAAAACCTTTAATGGCCTGAACATGACTGAGGTTTATTTCTTGCTCATATAAAGCCCAAACAGGTATTTGTGATTGGTAGGTAGCTTTCTTCAAAGCTTTATTTAGGAACGCAGGCTCCATCCATTTTTTGACTCTGCAAACTTCATCAGGTAACTAACAGAGTCAGTGTACTCATAGACATCAATCTGTGGATGGAAAGAGGATGGAGGAGAGCCAGAGGAGTTTTTAGAGGTAAGCCTAGAAATGGTGCACCTCAGGTGTGCTCACATTCTGTTGGTTAGGACACGGTTATGTGACCACACTTATTTGAAAGAAAAGCTGGAAATGTAGTCTACCTATATATGTAGGAAGAAAAAGTGGATCTGGTGAACATTTAGCCAGTTTCTACTAAAACATTTGGCATAAATCGTTCTGTAAAAGGAACACATTAGACCTGTGTG